TGTGATATAATTAAGAGGTGGGGCAGTTGGGAGGTGATCAGGTCCTGTGGGCTCTGCCCTCGTGTGTATGATTAGTGCCCTTATAAAAGAGGTCTGAGGGAGTTAATTTGCTCCTTCAGCCCTTTCGCTTTGTAAGGACACATAGCAGGTGACATCTATGAGGAACAAACCGTCACAAAGCATTAAATCTTCTGGCACCTTGCTCTTGGACTTCCTGGTCTCTAGAACTGTGAACAAGAAATTTCTGTTCTTTTTAGACTATGCAGACTGGGGCATTTTGTTATAGCAGCCTTAATGGCTAAAATACTTGCTATAATAGCAAAGATTGGTGTCAGTCCTAACCCAGTACCTTTGAACTATCCCAGTTCACCCATATACCATGGATTAAGTCATGAAATTACTTTGTCTCTGATCTTGCTCTGTCTCTCTCTCTCAGTTCTTGGCTCTTGCCAGTCTCTTCCAGTTTGGGGCTCACCTCTACTCTTTGTACTTGTTTGATTTTGGTTTCCCTAGTCAAATCTTCAGTACTTTAAGGACTTTGGCTCAAATTCCTACACAGGCTCTATGATATGAAGAAGTCTTAAAAACTCCAAATCTGTGTCTTCAGCTTTATAAAGGTGACATACCAATGCCGGTAATAGAACTTGAAGTCATGACAGGTCTTCATCTTTACAAAGTTACATGTAATTTTCCAATGTAGAGGACAGACAGAAACTGAAAGTTGTTTTTTTTTTTTTTTTTTTGGGGACAGGGTCTCCCTCCGTTGCCTGGGGTAAAAGTGCAGTGCATTGCCACAGCTCGCTGCAAGCTTAAACTCCTTGGCTCAAGTGATCCTCCTGTTTTAGCTCCCCAGTGGCTAGGACTATAGATATGTGCCACCATGCCTGGCTAACTTTTTTAGCCTGGCCCAGCCTTTAGGCTGGTCCTGAACTCCTTGCTTAAAGTGTTCCTCCCTCCTGGGCTTCCTAAAATGTTAGGATTATAGGTGAGAGCCACTGTGACTGGCCAGATAGCTTTTGCTTGGAGACCAAAATACTTGGAAGAGCAAATTTCTCTTGGTCAGTACCACCTATGGGACAAGAAGAAAATTGGGCATGGAGTAGTCTTTACCATTAGTGTCACCTCTCTCTGCATAAACAAGAAACACCTATTCTTTTCTTTCTATTTCTACCATCCACAGCTGCTTATTAACTTTGAATTCAGTCAAAGGAAAGACACTGCTATGCTCATGCCCATCTAAGTTATTGGCTAAATTTAAATTCAGTTTAACAAGCTTCCCAGTTGCTGGTAGGGATATAAATATTGATAAAATTTATCCTTAAAAAACTTTTTACCTACTGTAGTGGGTAGAATTGTGTCCTCTCCTAAAGGTATGTTCCCATCTTAACTTTTGGTGTCTGAATTTGACTTATTTGGAAATAGGATCTTAGCAAGTGAAATCAAGTTAAGATAAGGACGTACTGGATTAGGGTGGGCCTTAATTCAGTGACTGGTGCTCTTTGAGAAGAAGGAAAATTTGAAAATACAGACAAGGAGAATGTCATGTAATGATGGAGGTAGAGATTGGATGGATATATCCATAAGCCAAGGTATGCCAAGGATTGCTGGCAACCCACAGAAACTACCAAGAGGCAGGGAGGGATTCTTTTTTAGAGCCTTTCCTGGCTGGTCCTGTGATTTCAGACTTCTAGCCTCCAGAATTGTGAGAATAAATTTCTGTTGTTTTAAGCCACCCAATGACCTGTGTAGCTGCTTTAGGAAATTAATATACTAGTTAAAGAGGTAGAAATATGAACAACAAACTATAATAGAGGTCCACAGATCTACAGATAGAAAGAATGGCTTTTTAAGTGTCATATACAATAATTCTTAAAATATCAGGTTTCCTTTGCAAAAACTTCCTAAGCTATCCGACCTTTTAATTTCCTGTGTGACTTAAAATGAGTCAATACACCTCTCTGAACCTGTTTCTCATCAGGGAAAGGGACCTTTTACTTACTAAACGATCTCTGAAGTCTGTTCCACTTGTAATATTTTACTAAATCTGTAATGTATAATTTAAGAAGTTATTCCATTTTAAAATATCTTTTGCTGTTTCTTTTCTTAGGGTTTCGTAATTTTCTTTGTAGAGGTGCTTCACCTCTTTTGTTAGGAAGAGGAAGAAAAGTCACTCATGGGATTTGGGGTCCCCTCCTCTTCCTTTCTCACTCTCCAAAGGTGAGACGTGTGTGAAACATATAAGATGCCCTCGTACCTTCTTCTCCAAGCTGAGCTTCATTTCAGGTGTATGGAGCTGAAGGACAAAGTATTTTTCAGCTCAGGTGCTGCTCAAGCCTCTTTCTTTCTGGCAAGCACGTTTGGATAAAGAAATAGTTAAACATTAATGTCTGTCCACGTACTAATTAACCCAGCAGCATAGTAGAATAGAGAGAATTCATGTGACTTTGAATCTGGGCTTTAGTGGAGTCCCTTGGCAGGCAGTTTAAACACTCTAGGCCTGTTCTCTTTTCCATAATATGGCTATAATGATATCATCTTAATGGGTTGTTGAGAAGACAAAATAAAATAGAATACCATATATATATTTTATGCAGCAGACATATACAAGTTTTATTCACTTAATTTCTTTTTGTTAAAAGGTAGGAGGACAAAGGAGATAAGAAAATGAAATCAAACTGCTTGCCACTTTATTGTGAGAACAACTTATTTCCCTTGAGAGTGTCCTTATTCATTTGCCTCCATAACGTTTTCCTGTATCTCTCTTTTCAGTTTGTAATGCATCTCATTACATTATTTAGTATTATATTACACCTATAATAATCTATACTGTAAAATGACCAAAATTTAGAAACAAACATAAAATTGAAAGTAACAACATTGTAATTGGAAGGAAAGTCTCTATTAATATAATAAGGAAAATAGCATACTGAATTGTTTTCAGTTTATTTACAAATGTATACCTATTCTAAAAATTCTTTAACTTTTAAAGAAACAATTTTTGGTCTGTCAATTTCTATGACATGGATGTTTACTGCTTTTCTTTTTTTCTTCTTAATTATTATGGGCATACAATAGATATCTGTCTTTATGGGATATATGTAATGTTTTGACACAGGCATACAATGTGAATTAATCAAATCAAGGTTAATGGGGTATGCAACACCTCAGACATTTATCATTACTTTGTATTAGGAACATTTCAATTCCACTCTTAGTTATTTTAAAGTACACCTTAACTTATTGTTGGTTGTAGTCACTTTGTTGTGCTATCTAATGTTGTTCATTCTATCTAACTGTATTTTTGCGCTATTTAACCATTCCCATTTTATCCCTCCCTCCTCACTGTCCTTCCCAGCCTCTGGTGAACATCATTCTACTCTTTGTTTCTATGAGATCAATTTTTTTTGTTTGTTTTTTTGGCCAGGGCTGGGCTGGGTTTGAACTCACCACCTCCGGTATATGGGGCTGGCACCCTACCCCTCAGAGCCACAGGCGCTGCCCCCATGAGATCAATTGTTTTTAACATTTGGCTCTCATACCTGAATGAGAACATGCAAGGTTAGTCTTTCTGTACTTGGCTTATGGATTTCACTTAACATAATAGTCTCTAGTTTCACCCATGTTGTTGCAATTGGCAGGATTCTACTTTTTCTTGTGTCTATATAATATGCCATTGTGTATGTATACCACAATTTCTTTAACTGTTCATCTGTTTATGGGCATAGGTTGATTCTAAATGGTTATTGTGAATAGTGCTGCAATAAACATGGGAGTACATGGGAGTGTAGATTATCTTTTTTTTTTTGAGACAGAGTCTCACTATGTCGCCCTTGGTAGAGTGCTGTGGCGTCACAGCTCATAGCAACTTCAAACTCTTGGGCTTAAGTGGGTCTATTGCCTCAGCCTCCTAAGTAGCTGGGACTACAGGTGCCCACCACAACGCCCAGCTATATATATATATTTTTTGGTTGCAGTTGTCATTGTTTAGCAGGCCCAGGCTGGGTTTGACCCTGCCAGCCTGGGCGTATGTGGCTGGCGCCCTACCCACTGAGCTAAGGGCCCCACCCAGATTATCTTTTTGATACACTTATTTCCTTTCCTTTGGGTATATACCCACAGTTGAATTGCTAGGTCACATAGCAGTTCCACTTTTAGTTTTTTGAGGAACCTCCATATGGTTCTCTATAGTGGTTGCACTGATTTACGTTTCTATCAACAGAAAAAAATTAGGAAGCCAGCACTGTTATTGCCTTTTTGATGAAAGCTATTTTAACTGGGATGACAGGATATCTCATTGTAGTTTTTATTTGCATTTATTTGATGATTAATGATGTGGAGCATTTTTTCATACACCTGTTGGCCATTTGTACGTCTTTTGAAAGATGTCTATTCAGATCCTTTGCCTATTTTTGAATCAGATTACTTGATTTTTTCCTATTGGGTTGTTGGAGCTCTTTATGTTATTAATCCCTTGTCAGATAGGTAGTTTGCAAATATTTTCCCCCCATTCTGTGGTTTGTCTGTTCACTTTGTCGAGTGTTTGCTATGCAGAAGCTTTTTAGCTTGATGTGATGCCTATTTGTCCAATTTTGCTTTGATTTACCTGTATTTGAAGGTATTGCTCAAGACATCTTTGCCCAGACCATTGTCTTGAAGCGTTTTTCTTGGAGGGAAAAGTTTTCTTTTAGTAGTTTCATACTTTCAGTATTTAAATCTTTAATTCATTTTGATTTGATTTTTGTATGTGGCGAGGGATAGGGGCTACTTTGATTCTTCTGCTTATGGATAGATACACATTTTTAAGTGCCTGGTGTCTAGAGGGCATTTAAATTATTACTTGCTTACATAATTCTGGCGAACAGAAGGGACACTAAAACTTTCCTGTCCCCCAGTTCCTCCCCTAGGTCAGACACAGACCGGTACCCGGGATTATCCACTACTTTACTCGCAGGGGGTGGAGCCGGGGAGCAGCGGGCCCGGCCGGCCAATAGGGCGCGGGGGCGGGGCCAGCGGAAGTGCTCGCGCGCCTCTGTCAGCTGCGCCGGAAGTTCCTGGCCGGCCTGGCGGTAACCTTGGGATCCTCGCTGCCGCCGGGGTGGGCTTTGCGAGTCCTAGCCGCGGCTAAAGTAGGCTCATTAGTTGTCAGGAGCTGCCGGGCTTGAGGAGGACGCTGAGGGGTACGTGGGGCAGGCCCCCGGGCGCGGAGCCTCCCAGCCGACATGTCGCTAGTGGCGGAAGCTTTCGTCTCCCAGATCGCAGGTAGAGCGCGTGGCCACTGGCTGCGGACTGATGCGGGGTCGCGCCGGGCAGCAGGGAGCATCGTGGGGTTTAAGGCTGGAGATTTTCGTCAGCCTTGCGTGGTTAGATGCCCAGGCTGGAGGCGGGCACAGAATGCCATCCTCATTTTACGGATGGGAAAACTGAGGAGAGCCTTGGCCAAGGTTATCCCGCGGGAGAGCGTCCCGTCTGCTTCCCCTGGGCGGTGCTTGGTCCAGCTCCCTCGTGGGAGGGATTTGGGAGTGTGTGAGAAGCCGTGCGTTGGGATAGAGGTGGGGGGCGTGGCCACATGGTCCAGGCATTTGAAGGCTTCAGTCTAAGAGTGGGGCAGTGTCTTGGTCGTGGTACTTCTAGTTTAAGGTGACTGTCACTAACGACTCGTTACTTGTTGGTATTGAGGGACCAGCAGAGTTCTTGTTTCCTTTCCAAGTGACACAATACTACCATTTGCAAACTCTCAAGGATTCATTGAAGTATTTTAAAATCTACATGTACTTTAAAGAAATATTTTTGATTTATGGATTGAACAGGGCTGTTGTAAATAGATTTATAATTTCACTTATTGAGGTTCTTACTAAATATTGTTGAGAAAATGAGACTATGCATAGGTATTTACAGCTGTAGGTTAATGGCATTAAATCATAACTCCCTAGCAGTGTTTTCAACGTGAGTACAGAAATAAGACAGTCACCAGGATGAATAGGTACATTTGAAATGAGAAGATAATATTTTGGAAGTGAGAAGTGTAGAGAAGTATAGAATGTGTTATAAAATTTGCCAGAATGTTTTTCCTGCGTTGTATTTATGTGAACGTATGTTTCTTTTTTTCTTTTCCACTTAAATACATTGCTTTCAAGGAAGGAGAGAATGTCCCACAAGATTGCAAGTTTTGTGAAAGCAGGGATCCTACTTGTGTTATTTCCCATTGTATCTTGAGCCCCTGTCAGTTGGTGCTCAATAAATATTCGTCACCTGAATCTTGAGATTTCAAACATTGAGTATTTCTGGTTTTACCACTTATGTTGAAAACAAAATCAAGCTTGGATAGTTAGACATTTAATTTAGATTACTACTCTGTTAAGAAATAATTTTACAGTATATGCTGATATTGGTATATTGTATGCATGTGTCCTAATGTGTGATATCTTTTAAAGAGAAAATGATGAATGTCCTTTAATCAACTTTTGATAAGTTTGGGAAATTGCCTCAGTTAATGAAGTTTCAGAATTTCTAGGCATTTTATCTCTGTTGTCTTGGCTATTTGTAGTGATGTGTTACTCTAGGAGAAAGCATTTAAAGATGGTTAATTGATTAAATGGTGCTGAAGCAACTCCTACATCTGAACACCACATGAATAAATTCTAAATGGGTTAAAGATCCAAATGTAAAATAACAAAAACCAAATTGTAATAAAATAATTAGGAGAAAATATATGAAATTATTTTTGTAATCTTGGATAGCAGAAGAGGCCGAAGCAAGAAATAGAATTCATAATCTGTAAGAGAAAAAATTGGCAGATTTGACTGTAGAAAAAATTTAGAAGCTTTGTATGATAAAAGGCACCATAAGTAAATTTTTAGAAATTAAAAAAAAAAAAAAAAGAAAACCCAACAGAATCAAGGGCAAAGGATCTGAATAAGCACTTCACAAAAGAGTAAATGCAAGTCGACAGTGACAGGTGACGAGGTGCTTTCTATCACTACCAATGTAGAGTACTTGTCCCACCTAGATGATTAAAAATGATATGATAATATTAATCTTAAATTTTAAAAAAAGCAAAAAAAAAAGTGATAATTTCTAGTACTAACAAAGACATGGAAAAAACAGTTAACCTCAAACTATTGGTGGGTTTGTAAGTTATGTTACTTTTCAGGAACTTGATATAGCAGTATTTATTAAAATACTTATTAAAATGCCTTTGGCCCAGAAACTCTCTGGGGATTTATCTGATAGATATATAAGGACCAGTACTTAAAGAAATATTCAGTGCTATTAATTATAACATTATTCGTAGCAGCAAAAACTAGAAATGTTGTAAGTGTATATCAAATTATGAAACAAATCTAGCAATCCCACTTTTGGGTGTATATACAAAGGAATTGTAAGTCAGGATGTTGAAGAGGTACTTGTACTCCTATGTTCATTGTAACACTATTCATAATAGTCAAGATATGGAAGCAACTGAAGTGTCCAGTCACAGGTGAATGGATAAGGAAAAAGTGGTATATATACACAATGAAACAATATACAATCTTAAAAAGGAGAAAATATTGTTATTCTTGACAACATGGATAGACCTGGAGGACATTATGCTAAGTGAAATAAGAAAGGCACAGAAAGACAAATACCATGTTGATTTCACTTACAGTATTTGAAATCTAAGAAAGTTTATCTCATAGAAATAGTGGAAAGGGCTC